ACAAGCCTACACCATATTGCTCTTACGGATAGGGGGTAACATGATGGGGCTCGGGCGTTTGAGAGAAGAAGCTATGCCAAATCAAAAATTAAAATATTCTCATTATCACTTTGTTTAAAATTATTTTTTTCAAACATAAATTATTTATTAAAAATTTAAAAATAAACTAAAAATAAAAAAAGTGGGCGTGACTTTTATTTGTGAGTACAAAAATCTACTTGTAATTAATTATTGAAACTACAATGATTGAGAATTGATGATGAGGACAGCTATTGATTCTAGATGCCTTCAAATGTCAAAAAGGAGATATCCTTTCTTACTTTCTTTCTTAGAGAAACAGCAAATTCATTATGTCCGTCACGCGGCCACATTACCAGCGCCCACGTTTAGGGTTTTGCTCCCAAAAAAAACCATTGATCGAATTATTAGTTGTCATTTAAGAATTTTAAATTAAGATTACTAAATTCTGTCTAAATAATAGCCGTTGCGAGAGTAAGTTTTCCCATGACGGATGATGGTCGTCGATTATAAAAAAGAAAAAAAAAAAAAAACCATTGATCGAATTACCAGCGCCCACGTTTAGGGTTTTGCTCCCAAAAAAAAACCATTGATCGAATTATTAGTTGTCATTTAAGAATTTTAAATTAAGATTACTAAATTCTGTCTAAATAATAGCCGTTGCGAGAGTAAGTTTTCCCATGACGGATGATGGTCGTCGATTATAAAAAAAATAAATTTTTTTTTTCCCTTTTACAAAAAGTGTAAAGATCATTTTAGAACATTTTTATGATACTTCATAGAAGACAACTCATTACTCTCTAAACATGATGTTATTGGAGGCTTTTAGCCATTAGAAGGTAACTATGGGCACAAAATATATAAACTGATTCACACAAACATACGTAATTAGTTATTGCTATATTGAGCGTCTATATGTTTAATTTAGTTAAAATATGTTAATTGTAAGCAAAATTTCATGGATGTAATTGACGTGAAAAGAGCATTTTGGAGCTTAAGTGGGGGTGGATTTGGAGAAAATTGAAGATCATTTGGAATGCACATGGACAATTAGAAAAATTAATAGAGCATTGGAAATAAATTCGTAAGTTTCTGGAATTAAATCCAACCATTAAAAAGTTTGAGAACTAATTTACAAACTTTTAAAACTTGATCGAGTAAATTATTAATGAAATGATGAGGATTAATTGTGAAGACTAGGAGGTGAAGGACTCAAGTTAAACCAAGAGGAGAAGCAAGAATCAAAATAAACAAAAGAGAAAAATTGGAGCATGCAATCGCAAGTCATACTACTTGCGATTAGTTAAGCTCTTGGCTGAGCTCATTTTTAGGTGAAAATACATTTTGGAATAGTATTTTATTGAAGAATATATGATTAAAAATAAGAAAAATTTTAAATTTGAATGTAAATTTATGTTATGGAATAATGTATTATTAAAAATGAGTCTTGAAAAATGATGCCAAACTTGGGCCAAATAATCAATTAAATACTACTAACCTTGAAATTTATATCAACAAGGACAACATTTTGACCAATTTCACAAGTTACATTTACTATAGCTTGTGTTGAGCAGACATACTACAGTAGATAGAGATGGAAACAATAAATTACTTGCTTAATTAAAACATTTTGTTAGAGGGAAAAAAAAAAGTAATCAATATTGAGTTTTAAAAAATATATATAAAATAGAATAAAATATATGGAAAAAATCAATCTCTAAGAACTAAATTGGTCCAATCGATTCAATCGAAAAAATTAATTGGTGGTTAAAATCATAAATATGAAAAATGGGTGGAAAACCCGACAGTCTGTCGAATAGGAAATCGAGCAACCTCACGCTGGGTTTATAAGTTATACCGGATGGGTTTGTGAAAAAAAGAATAATAATAATAAAAATATGGCCAGTAGCCAGCTTCCCTTGCATCCATAACCCAATATCTGCTCTCTTTATAGTTCATTGTTTATACGCAGCCACCACGTTCTATTAGCCGTAAATCTTGATTTGAGCGTTTCTTTCCATTCTTAGGTAAGTCGTGAAGAAGAATAATAATAATTTGCACAAAAATTAAGAATAATGTTATTCCTAATGAGGACTATCGATAGTCTTTCGAAGTGACATACGTCATGAGTATGCCACATAAGACGACTCCCTATAGTACTCGCTATAAATGACATTATTCAAAAATTAAAGATATAAAGAAGCCTACCTCGGTGGAATGCAATCTGGACATGATTGAATGGGTTCTTGATTTTAATTTGTTCCTACTCTTCTTTAAAAGAAAGAAATAGAAAGGTCAAAAGCGGATGGTTTTTACTTTTTTTTTCTTTCTTTTTTTCCTTCATTTGGGAAGTGGAATTTTAAAGGAAACGTGTATGAATAAAGAAATGGGTAGAGGGAAATAACGAATGGTAAATGCACGAAAATGAAAGATTCACACAATGAAAATTCTATTTTCCTTTTTAAATTGATATAAAAATTCTGATGTGAAATTTTTAAAAAAAAATGTATTACTCGTTAAGAATAAAATAAATAATCAAAATTCATTTTTTATTTATTGATTTTTTTAATTAAGATTAATGAAAGTTGATTTATGTTAATAAATAATACATATTTATTTTTATTTTTTATTTTCAGCCCTTTGACTTGACCCTTGACCCCTTTTTGAATTGATGTACATGACGAATTTTAAGTCATTGAAAAATGTTGACAATATTGTACGCGTAGAAAATCTAGTTTTGATTACAACAAACTCAAAAAACCTAAAAGAAAAAAGAAAAAACATAAATTGAAATCGAAGTTATCTATGCATGTAAATACAAAAATAAAGTCCACAAAATATAAAAATTTTCATTCCCAATATATAAGAAAAGGAAAAAATAAAATTATATTCAAGTTGAATGAATTTTTTTTAAAACTCATTGTTCTTCTTCAAATATTTTACACAATTTTA